TCCCATCCTACAGTGTTGTGAACTGCTGAAGACATTTTCACTTTCTAGTGCTCCCCACATTCCCCTTCTTGGAGACTGCCTGCAGTGGCACCTTGTTTCTGGCATGCAGTGTATATGATCAGGAAGATTGGATGTTGTTGTAAGAAATTCAAAAACAAGGGTGTTCTTTTTTTTTTAAAAGGAGGTTTTCCCCTTACATATATCAAAATTTGACCTTAAATTATAAATGTAGCAGAAAAAGTGTTTATACTTTGTATTCTTGCACTCTAAACATTCTTGTGTGCTAATAATCTATGTTCTAACTGCAACTAAAAGTTATATTGATGTTAAAAAATATTATATTAACGTTACTCATGCACAATTTTTTTTTAATAGTCGGACGCAAAATGAAGGTCATCCAAAATGGTTTGTTCTGGGTGTTGGACAAGTCATAAAAGGCTTAGATATTGCTATGATGAATATGTGCCCTGGAGAAAAACGGAAAGTGACAATTCCTCCATCATTAGCATATGGACAGCAAGGATATGGTAAAAAAAGAAATTATGACTTTAAACTTTGTCTTTCCTGTGTTTTTTACCCTTTGAAACATAGAATACATAGTATTGTAAATGTCTGTGAGAACTGGGGCTCCCATTTGGAGGCAGTGCAGCTGTGCAGCCCCAGTCCTGCTCATTGCTACTCAGTTTAAGTAGTCTTGACCACAGACCCACACCCAGGCCTTGCAGTTCCCATTAGAACTCAGTACACGCCACCCAATGTGTTTTCCCAAGTATTGCCATAGTGTGAAAAATTGGCAGCAAAAGGAAGATCTCCATGAGCAATATCAGCCTTATTGTGTTAATATACTAAATTCCAGTCACATTTTTTTATTATTTGACTGCTACCTGTTTAGCCTTTTAATGACAATCTGCATCTTCTGAGTAAAATGAAATACGTTGCAGTGCAATTAATCTAAGTAGAAATAATTTGCTTAAAATACTGCTTACATTCTGAATAGTTAATGGCTCTCATTATCACATTACACAGTAATTGCAACAGTGCAATACCTGAAATCTGATTTGAATATAAGATAATTCAGTGTGCAGATTACTTAAAAAAAAGTTCCAGTATAAGTTCTATGCAGTGTTTCAACACTCAAATGTAGATAAATTCAGCTCTGACCTGGGTGTAGTAGTTTCTGTGAAAAGGTAGCTCTTGCTCTGTAGTAATACTCTGGTACTGATATGTCAGAATTCAATGCATCAGTTTTGTCTTTAATACAATTTCATAAAAAAAGGAAAAACACTGATACAAATAAAAGAATGTTCTTTAATACTAGTATTAACTGTTTGTTCCAGGTAGCACTTGAAGGAATAGCATTTTCCTACAGCACACCTGTCCTCTGTCTCAGCGTACTCCTGCATGCTGGGGAAGATACCTGCCTAATCTTGAATTAGAAAAGATGCATGTGGCTTTCTAAATCTTTACATGTCTTTCCTTTGTTGGTATGTATATTTGTAAACTGCTGGCACTGAATTCTAGTATTGTATTCTATATTCTTTCTTTTGTAAGGTGTATTTAAATCATTATTTATATTCAGATGAATTTAAAATTTGTACTTTTCTAAAGCATGGAAAGTTAAAACCTTTTTAACTCTGAAACCTGTTATTTTTACTATGGCTATTTTAGATGAGTAGTATAATACTTCTGTTTATCTTCTGTTTACAAACAGTGTAGATTCTTTAGCTTTTCTTTAGTTTATGAAGGATGAGCACAAGCTCAAAATTCTGAGGTTACAGTGTCATGCTCACTGGCTTTGGCAGCTTGCATGTTTACATTTTAATTTTATATTGCATGATTTCTTTATGCTCTTTTGGCACTATCTTTAGACTGCATTTGTTGCTGTCTCTTTTCAGTTCCCCTTTTTTGCCAGATGCATGGTACGTGAACCTATTTTTGTAGGCAGTGCTGATTTTACATCAGGTGGCAGAAAATGCTTTGATTCAGGAACAAAGAATTCTTACAGTTGTTTTCTTAATTCAGAGGCCAGACAAAGTGCTCCAGTAGTTTGAAGTTTCTATGGGGATTTTTTTGCAAGTCAAATGACTTACATCCTGTTGCTGCTTTTTGAGATGTACATTTTAAACATTGTTTTACAGCATAGATAAAATACTTTTTACCATAGGTAAATTCATAGGTATAATTCATACAAAGTAGGTAAAACATTGTATTGTCTGTTTCTTCAGACAGACAATGCACAGGAGCATTGAACTACTGTTATGTTTTAAATCAGATTGCAGCTGTTTAATAAAGACATATATCTTAGAACCAGTCTTTAAATAAGCCCTGTCATATGACAGGATGTGAAAGAATGAGAACTTTAGAAGTATTTGTTTTTCATGATAACCAGTCATCTAATCGCTGAAAGTACCTGAATTGGTATGCAATAGTTTTGTTTCAGGCAGGTACATGATCAGCAAGTTTCTTCTGAAATCATTTATCTAACACAATCAAACAATCTTCCTGTCTAGATGTACAACATTTAAATTTGGAGTTTAATGTAAATATTAACACAGCCTTTTTTAATAAAGAAATCCTTTACCTGTGAATTTATCATACATGTGATCTCTGCCCATAGTGTCTGATTCCTTAAACACTTTTTTTTCCTTTATACATAGCACAGGGTAAGATTCCACCCAATGCAACACTGATCTTTGAGATTGAACTTTATGCAGTAAATAAAGGACCTCGTAGTGTTGAGGCATTCAATCAAATAGACAAAGACGGCGACAAGAAACTCTCTGAACTTGAGGTAATATGATACAAATAATTTATAAAACTATAGGTGTGGCTGCATCACTGTTACCTTTACATGAGCTGCCTCTGCTGCAGCTAATTATGTACGGTTTCTGTGTGTTTACACAAACTACACTGTGCTGTAGGTTGCTGAAATTTGCTTTAATACATTAATAAGTCTCACACTTCCTGTAGACAAGCTGTAGATGTGTCTGCACTGGAATCACAATACATTACTTGTATACCCCCAGTGTCCTTGAAGACAGCTAAATTAGTGCTAGCATAAAAGTCACAATGATTTGACTTTTTACTTTTCTTCTAGATAAGCCAGTATTTGAAAGAAGAGTTTGCAAGAGATGGCAAAAAACGTCATCCCTCTGCCCATGATGAAATCTTAGCTGATATATTTAAGAAGAATGACCATGATGGAGATGGCTTCATATCAGCAAAGGAGTACAATGTTTACCAGCATGATGAACTCTAAGTACTTTAAAATATTTTCAGCTGTTTTCTGCACACTGAATTCTAAATAATAATACTTTGTCACAGAATTTTTGTATTTTTTTTTATAGTGGAATCTTTTTATATCTCTTAAGGTGACTGTAAAAATCTTATTTTTAACATTCAGCTAATAAAATGTGTCAGATGTTTCAAAAGAAAGAAATAAAATTGAAGTACACCATAATATATGTGGTTCCTACAACATGTTCCAATCCTACAGTATTGCTCAGTAGTCTCTCATTTGGTGAAATACTGATGAAAATAATTATCTTTGTTCAATTGAGGACACAAAAGTTACAATAACCTTTGACATAGCTGGAATGTAACTGCTGACCACTTCTCAATCCCCTGTAAAATAAAAGAGGGAAAACAGAGTCCCAGGAATACGGCTCTTAGACCCCTGCAGGCTTCTAGCCTAGCTTCTTGAAGAAAGGCCATTTGCAGCAATTAACTATAAAAGGCATTAACATGGGCAAACTTTGTCTATGGAATGTTAAGATAAAAACAAAAAATGTTTTTAAAATAACCTCTTTGATGTAATATTAATCTAAAGAATTTGGTGTTGAAGAAAAAGCAGTACTTTAGGAGAGTGTTTAAACTTTGACTTAGTAAAATGGTCAGGTTAGCCAGTTTGTTCAGCAACACCAAGTTAAAAATCTACACTATCATAATTTAATTGAATGAGGCTGAAGATGATGGGAGATGCTGTATAAAAACATAATTAATTAATTATTTGGGCATCACTCTGGTTTTCCTCACTGGAAAAATGCAAAGTAGCAATAGTTAATAGACAGTACTTTTATCTGTTAACTGTTCTGCTTGTGCAGAACACATCATAACGCTTGTGTAACATACTTCACTCTTCTCACTTGAAAAGTAATGGCTGTATTCACATCAATATGTAATAATCAGATGTACACAGTGAAAGTAGCAGCACAAGTGAAAAAAGCTTCCATACTGGGTTATCCTTGAAATAATTTTAAAAGGTATAAAAAGGTTTTTTGCTCTGCCAGGGTAAAACAGTGCAGTGACAAGTTTAACAGCGCCCTGCCCCGCAGCCTAGTCCCAGCCCTGGACAGAGCTTTCTGTTGTTCCAGTCCTCAACAGACTCCTGTTGAGTTTCCTGAGGCTGGGATGCAGCTGTTAAAGACCTTCACCCCTGAAGTCTTGTTGGAGTGAGCAGTTCCATTATTTTCATAAGCTTCCAAAACATTTTCTGCTAAGCAGGTATTTTTCTGAGCACATAAAAGAACAGAGGAGCTGTGATGCAGAATCCAACTGCAGCAGGTAGACTGGCTGGTACTTTTTCATAATTAAACAAACTTGATATTAGGCAACAGCACCCTAATATGAAGCTCCCATCCATAGTTCCAGTTGTTTCCTTTTGTAACTGAAACATTAGACTGAGCTAAGTTTTAGCATGGTTTTTAATCTGATACTTCAATTAAACATTCATGAGAACACTAAATTATTAACAAATATTCTCATTTAACCATCATATGCCAGTGTAGAGAAAGGCAACATTTTGGGGTTTAACAATAAGTTTGTGTAAACAACTTTAAGTTCTAGCATATATTTTGACATTAGAAAATACTATTTAAAAGTATGTTTTTAATTATGATAATGAGAAAGTTCTACGAAAAACAGCAATGTCAGGAAATTCATGTGCATTTTAAAGTAGAGGTTATCGACTGTGAAGCAAAGAATTTGAAGATAACAGCGTAATAAAATGTTTTGCACTTCCATTGTTTTGCATTTCTCAATTGGAGACATATTCACTAACTCCAAAAAGTTTGTGGCACGGTTATGCCCATGTCTGTGGTAACAGGCACTTACGCAGATCAGTTACTTCATTCTCTTATGCCAGAGGTCAAAACAGGGCACGGCATGCAGTCGTACATACTTCTGTCCATTAAAAGAGCACTCCAGGCATCCATAGACTGTCTCCCTTTTTGAACTTCCCATTCCACAAAGGACACAGGGGCCTTTGGGGATGTTGTTATTAAGTAAATTAATTCGGATATGAGAACCGTCTCTGAGATAGCTTGTAGAGAGATCAGTCATGCTTGCAGCTTTTTCATAATAATCTGCAAAAAGGTCCTCCAAGTAAGGATCAGAGTTAGCAACGATTTCCACTACTCCTTTATCTGAAAAAGAGCACACAAGGAAAAGAAGCAGTATTCTGTTATTACATTACGATCTGTGGTTTAAAAAATATCAGTTTAATTATAGAAATAACAACTGATGCACAAAACTGTTCTAAGCATGCCATATAGACTGCTTCCCATCAAAAACCCTGTATGATAAAAATTTTTCTTCAGCTTCACTTAAGACACTGACAAAAGCTAGAAATTTTTGTATATGACCTATGTAATTACATTTTTTGAAATATACGTGAAGGATAGGCATGAGGCAGGCTTCTGAGAAATTGGTGCAGTCAAACCACAGCTGTGTACTTGTTTTTATTTTTGCATTTCTAGTTTTATTTTCTAAACATTGTAAATTCACTTTTATTTCCTATTATTTACCAAAAAATCCCACTAATACTTAATATGTTTAGAAAATTCAGACTACTTGTTAACCTCCTAGCAGATTTCTGGGTATCCAGATGTGACAGGTAAGAACTACCTACCTTTCCCTCTCTCTTCAGTGACTGACTAGATTGAGTGAAGAACTTTCAGGCAGCTACAGCTCCTGAGATATATCATACCCACTGAAGATTTTTTTCCCCTTGTGTGGACTGGAACAGCACTGAAGGCTTGGTCCATAGAAGTTCTTTGATCAAGAATGGGATACAGTGGAGGAAGAACACCTACACACAGCAGCTTTTGGGACATGCTTACTGCTCAGCATTTATCTTCACACTCAGATCTGCAGTTTTCCAACGTACTTGGACCAAGGAGTGTTACAAGTTTAAGATCTTGGTCTAAAGCTGCATACAGGGATCTGCGTTTTTATTGGATGCTATGTTCATATTAGAATGAGAAAAGAGGACTACGATGGTATCCTGCCATGGGAACATAGAGCCTAAGGAGTACATTCAATTATTGCAGTTAATATTGTTTGATATTTACAAAAAATATTTACAGCTTTTGCCTTCAAATATTACTATAATTATAACTTGTATATAACAAGCTGTAAATGGCAAACACATGAAATAGGCTCAGTGTTAACTGTGTAATTACTCATTACCGGTTTATCAACAGCCATACATTTTAAGATCTTTAGAGTTTAAAGAAAAGATTTGTTACTTCTGAGAGACAGGTTCTCAAATGTAAATTTTAATAACTCTATAATCATTTCAATACACTAGAAATTGAGAGGTACATTTTGCATCAAATTCTTTAAACATTCATCTTGGACAGAAATTAAAGAAACAAAGATACACTTTTAAATAAGACATTTGTATATAAATGTCAAAAGTCATACTTCGATGAAACAAATTATTCTTTAATCTCCTGAATTTGGTCAGTGAAGATGATCCAGATTTCTCTCTTTCAAATCCTCCTTTTGCAATTGGAGTCACACAAAGTTCTGTAAAAATGAAAAGTTTTTAAAAGGACTAAATATAAAAGCCATAATTGCACAACAATTTAATATGATTTCTAATCAATAAAGTTAACAGTGATTAAATCTAGCTTTGCTAATGTTTTTAATGGCTAGTATAACTTTTTAATACACGTCTGCACACAGTAATTGTCCACAGAATCAAGTAACACAGATTTGATGGTAATTTTTAACTGTTGGTGGCTTTCAATTAACATCCTCAGAGCCTGTTTTGATTCATGCACAAATTATGGTCATGTTAAGGGGTCAGAATGGTCAGTAGCATAACAATGGAAGCCCTGATTCTGAAGGACAAACATTTCTGTAGTCTTACTTGAAAGTAGAAATGAAACATAGTAAGCAAGGCTGTGAATTCTGTACTCACCTCTTCTGATACTGAATTCTAACCATAACTTGAAATAAATACTTTAAGGTAAAATCTATGCTATGCAAATTTTTATTTGTTTCCAATTTCTGCAATTAATTCCTCCTAAATAGCTTTAGATATTTATATGTGCAAATGATGTATCAGATTGAAATTAAAGCCCCAACAGAAAAAAATGTTATTAGTTTAGAAGTTCTGTACACTTTTTTCTCTACTTGTCTCTTTGTACTTGCCTATTTTATGCAAAATTGAACAGGTAGTCTCAGAAACCTGTTTCCCACCAGCTAGAAATATAACTAAGTGGGGCTTTTTGTTCCATGCCACCACAGAATTTAAAAAATACCAAGTCTAACTTTTAAGAAATGTTCGCACAGCAGACTATTTTCTAGCACCTGCCTTGTTTTTCTTTTCAAGCACTGTTTCTGTCAGAATGTCAGAATACTTATGTGCATAAAATTAAAGCATCCCATTGTATGGGATCAGGGCTTATGTATATCAAGAGCAATAAAGCAGTTTTAAAAACTTAGATCATTATAAATAATAGCAGTAATGACAGTAATTCACATCACTTACCGAAATTACCATCCAAATGAATGTAGAGTTCAAATACACTAAAAGCAATAGTTGTATGTGCAGGAAAAACAATGGCTTTGTCCCGCCCTTTATAATTCTGATCTTCAATTATGTGAAACTATAATTTAGAGAAGGATCAAAAGAAAAAACGTTAGACATTGAAATGAATAAATAAACAAAATACTAATCTTAACTTCATATATTGAGAATTACAATGCCAGGTGGAAAATTTGAAATTGAAGATCAAATTTCACAACTGAAGAATTTTCTATTAACTACTTTGCATTTTAATAAATTTTGATACAGAGAGAGCAATTTGCATCACTTACTGAAAATTATGTGGATGATTTATTAATACTAGAAAGAGTGAAGTAAGAAGACTTGTAAGTTTAATTATTCAAACACATTGAGAGGGAAAGGGGAGGAAGAGCATAAGAGAAGGAGTAAGATCCTGACCCTTCAAGTAATAACCTGAAATTCCAATATGTTACAGAAGATGACCATAATAATGAAAGAAAGGTTATACATTTATTAGAAAGTCAAACTAAGAAGTAGTAAATTCCACATTTTTGCCAAGGCTTTACCCCAAGCAATGGCTCATTGTCTAGCCTTTCATGCATTTCCCATCCCTCTGTCCTATAAGCACTGCTAACAAAAGACCAACTTTTAAACCACTTTGCATCAGTACGGTAGTATTGATTGACTTCAGACTTTTTCTGAGTTTATATTATAAAAACACAATTAAATCAAACCATAACATTTATAATAATGAGCTTTTTATGCTTGATCATTTGAGTTACAGAACTTTGCCAAACATATTTACCCTCATTGTCTCTCCACGCATTCCAGTATGGACAGTTAATGAGCACTGCCTTGTAGTTCGAATACTTTCCATGACCACACACAAAATTTCCATCCTACTTTTTCTTGATTGCTGGACTAGACAATGATCAAAGTTTATTTTTCTAAAATCAAGAGGGAGGCAGGAAGGAAATTCAGACATAATTAGCCATTTTCAAAGCAGCTAAGTAACATTAAATCAGTAAAGAAATCACCATAATACCTGTTTCATAGCAGTAAAACAACTGACCAAGGAAATCTCTGGAAACTTAATATTGATTTTCAGTGTTTGGCAACAGAAGTAAAAAATTCAAGGAAAGCCAGTATTCTACACATATTATGGAGGATATCTGGGACAGCCTGGAAAATTCAAAGCCTGTCCATCTGACTTTGGCTTTAGTGCCATTAACTGAAAAAAACCCTATATCACTTTTAAATAATCGTGAAACAAGTGCTTGTAGAAGAATTTCTACAAAAAATGGCAGTTCTATAATACTGAATCTTTTTTGGAGGAGACTAGATCCTCTTTCCTCACTCATGGTTATTAATGATAACATTTGAAGGTTATTAATAAATTAGGAAAATATGGAAAGACAGGTTGCAGATACAAAATGGCATGCGCTTCTTGGTAAATACCAACAAGGTAACAAAATATATTTGTAAATGCCAAATGTTGCATCATGCATAGTAAATAATTTACTGGGATGCACTGTAATTCAAATAATTCAGAAAATTGTACAGCCTGTATTATACAGGTCATGTGTCTAATCCCGTGATCCGACATGATACCCTTGAAAATATCTGATGGTGACTGCTACTGATTGGCTAAAGATAATCAAAACCTAACAACTTTGGACTTTCAGCATAACTGTATTAAATAATTATGGAAATTATGAATTATGAATTAAGAATTATAGAGACAGAAATCAAAGCACAGAATACAACCTTGTAGTAAGTTCTTTAAGTAATGTTGGTACTTCGACTTCGTGTTTGGTCACTATGCCAAAAGAAGCTTTAAAGGCAACAGAATCTGATCCAGCAACATCAAACCCAACATCATTCATTATCTGATTTCCTCTTCTGCCATTAAGCGAAACATCTGATTTGTCTTCATAGTTGAGCAACTGGTAAGACGAGACACCTGAGTAAAAGAAGATAACCTGTGTGTGATGAAAAGTCTGAACACAGGATTTTTGCATAGCAAGAATAAATGGTACCATTTTTACTGTGCTTACCATTTTGATATGAAAATCAGAAATACATCGAGCCCTTGTTTATTGGTGTTACTACTGATGATTGATGGAAAGAGTACATAGAAGTCCTGGGTTTGATTAGAGCTATTTTCAAATTTCTGTGTTCATCATTATTCTCCTCAAGTACTTCCACCTGTAACTATGATGCTGATACATATAAACTACACATGTAGTAAGTTTTGACTTTAATGACAGAAGCTCTGAAACCCAAAATGATTCAGTGGAGGCCACAGAGAATATTAAAGCTAGGAATAAAATGAAAGCCACTGTATAAAAAATATTAGGGAATTCTGAATTTCATCTAGATGTCCTACAAAGACCCTAATTTTTCTTCATTTTTGCAATACATGAATGAGACATAGGCGTACCAGTAACATTAACTCTGCCCAACAACTATGTCTGTTTATTTTAAAGGAAAACTACAGATTAATTCTGACTTGCTTGAAAGCTTGCATTCAATCATTGTACAATCAAAAGGTAGGTACCAAAGCACCTCTACAAAAATGTCTTTATAATATCAAATACATTTCCATTACACTAACGGAAGAAATACTAGAACACATTGGTTACCAAATTAAAATGAACACAGGGATTAGATTTCCAAATACATGTAAGAATCTGCGGTTTACTCCTTTTTTGTTTTTAGTCCTTTGCAGATATTAGGATAAATTGACATTATTAAGTCACCTACTATGAATCCTGTTTATGTTTATTTTTTAACCAAAAAGAAGCTTAATATATTTTTTATAATACTAAAAAGATTGGAAATGCTAGTCTTTGCCACATAAAAAAGGAAATTAAATTACAAACCCCTTTGGTTATGTTAAAGGATTTTCTTAATACTTTCTGCGCACAACATTTAACCTTTACAGAAAAGACTAGTAAGGTTTTGTGAGAATTTTTAATGAGATTTTGCAACATTTAAATGAGATTTTTTGGGAGGGGTTTTTTTGTTTTGTTTTTTTGGGGTTTTTTGTTTGTTTGTTTGTTTATTTTTTTTCCATTCAGGACAAGCCAGCTGACTTCTTCTGAATGTAAGATTTAGGATTAAGATTTTTCCTATCATGTTTGTCTCCTGAAATCCCCTCTTGTGGCATCAAGTGGTATTTCCTGTGCTTATATTAGTTTCTCTTAGTAGAGTTTTTAACTGATGCATTTGTTGTGCCAGTAATATCATCAATAATTTTGCCAAAATTGACATTTCAAAAAAAATAAAGCAATTAAATGGTTTTGAGAAAACCTGTAGACATGAATTACACACTTTTCAAAGGAATGTATAGGAAGATACAGGCAGTATAGTTCAATTTTGCACCTCATAATTCTGTTAGAATCTCCTCAAAATTTACACTCTGGCATAGAAAAGGAAATTTAAAAACAGTTAATCTCTTTAAATACATCACAAAGATTGCAAATGTGGAAAAAGTCTTATGAAAATCCAATTACACCAGTCAGATGTAATAGCTGTTTTCAAATGCTTTTGCCTGTGCAGAGGTCAGTTCAGCACCAGGGACTGCCAGCATGGAAGAGCTGCAGAGCTGAGGCCATTCTTACACACTTAAAAGTGAGTATACAGACAAAGGGGTACATTTCTAAACAAGTTTTATGTAGCAGTTAATCAACATACATCAGTACCTCTGTCACGAATTTGTGGTTTGTGAAAAATAAAAAGGCTAAACTGAATTTGTTTAATACTAGTTCAGAAAATATCAAGGCTTTTTAGTATAAATTATTTCTTTTTTTTATTTTTCACTCTTTTCCCAGAAAGTCCTTTTTTCCCTTTTGTCTTACCATTTTGATTTGTACTTTTTTTTCTTAAATATTTATTACATGACTAAGCTAGAAAAATGTTATTACCCATTTACTAAGGAAACATCATACTACCTGCACAGTTTAAACTATGTTTACTATGTCTTTACTAGAAAACATGCATTTTTCCACTTTGAAGAAAGATAAAAATCTTACCTGCAGAAATTTCTTTCTCCCCTTGAAGAATGTCTTTTAATGTGAAAGGTGTTGAAGCAAATTTAGATTTTTTTGAAAGCAAACATTTTCTTTTTTTAATCACAAGGCTCAGAGGTTGGTATCTGTCAGCTTCACTGAGGCTGGGCACTGGAACTAATCTTCCTCCATCACCAACCTGTTTAACGAAGTTTTTGGTTGCAGCAGCAAACATATTATGACATTAATAATGATACTAATAAAAAAGCTCTGTATCAAGTGTAGCTTCCAGACATCGAGCCCATGTTCAATTCTTCTTATATTGTTCTTGCAAAAAAATTACCATGCTTTGGAGAAAAAATCTGTCAAACTGCTTTTTTTAGAGTGAGTTATATCTCACTTTTAAAGAATCAACAGCATCTTAGCTACTGAACTTCTGTGGTGTACTGCTTGAGACTTCTCTCAGAGACCTTCAGTTAAGCTCTCTATTTCTGCATGATGAATAATGAATTAACAGTGTAAACTGAGAGGGAAATGGTGACCTTTTCTTGGCAGTGTATTGCCACCCTAAAAGACAAAATTTACTGTCATAGAAACAGAAAACTAACTTTCATAACCCTCACCTTCCCACTAGGAGTTATTGGTGTACTGCTCTTTGTTGAGTCCTTGCTACAGCTGAATTCTGGTGTTTTAGCAACACCAACAAAGCAGCCCAGACGTGCCCTGGGAGGGCACTGGAATTACACTTGGATGAGCACTGGGAGCTCTGTAGATGGTGTTGCCTTTCACAGCACTGGCATAACCTGCCTGGGAGAGCTCAGCTGGGGACTGAACTGGGCTGGGCTGAACTGTGAGATCAGAGCAGGCTGGGGCAGGGGGAAACACCAGTGGGTTCTCATCATTTGTTATTAATCTCCCATGGACTTAGCTGTCTGTGACCCAAGGGCTAGGCTTGAGCTCCATGCATTTAGCTCAGACTACTGAAAATCTCATTAAATTATGAGAATTAAAATTGCATTAAAAAGTGACAGTATTGATATGAAGAAATGAGGAGCAACTCAAGAATCCAAGATATAAAGCCCCAGTGTAAAAAGACAGAAAACTGTAAAGAGAAGGAAGACAGACAGTAGAGAGCACAGTGGAGGATCTGTGAGAGAGGCAGAAGGAGCTGACCAACCCTCATGTAGGCAATTACTTGATTTTCTAGTAAGATTGATGAACACAGAACTGGCTAAACCTTGCAGCTCTTCTTCCAGAGATTCCCATTGCAGCTACAGTGGGTAAAGCATCAGCCACTGGCTTGTAAAGTTACACTTCAGTAGGAATATTGTCCCTGGTTGCCAGGCTACAATTGGTTTGATTGGCTTTTGTTTTCTGAAGTAAGGTCTTTATGTAAAAGTACCTGAAGGAATGTTTTTATAATATGAACACTTATTTAGTAATTTATCATGTGTCAATACTTCCATAATATTTTTAAAGGTTCAGAATATCAGAAAAGCCAACAAAATGGCAAAAAGAGGAGGGCATTACTTTAGTTATGAAAGGAAAGGCTGCTGGATCTTTCTGCTTACTCTAGAGGGTGCTGAAAAATCAAGTCAGGTTATATATCGACTGAATTGAAAGCATGGGGAAGGCTGCAATTAATTCTGGATGTAATTTCATACTACACTATCTGAAAAACCCTGCACATATTTGCTCAATCAAAACAAATTGAAACAACTGAAAAGCTTTCAAAGGGAAGAAATATCTAAGGGAACCCTAAAATGAAAATTGCCCCTTGATCCTTGGTTTAGATTAATCCTGTATATATATGTTTGACAAGATACTATTTTTCTACAAATTATTAAGACCAGCTGGCACTGTTTATTCAACATGCATTTGTATTTTTCTTACTCAGTATGCGGTCATAGATCATATTCAGTCTGATCTAAGCTCTAATTTTGATAATGAATAGTTTCATTTGATATGTTTACATGCTATTCCTGTTACTCTAACACCCTATAATCCATCAAAAATGCTTCAGCAGATGTTTGTGTTGTCCTCATGCCACAGATCAGAGAACAGGAGTCTGAGTACAGTAACATTGCCATGATCTGAAAACATTCACTAATTTTGCACATCCAAGTGAAGAAACATAAGGTATTTCCCTGCTCCTCCAGCACTAGACACTTTTGTACTTGGCACACCAGTGTACTTATGAACTTCCAGCATTTCTGCAGCCCTGGCATCCTCTCATTTTGGGAAATGAATAAATGAAAAACATTTAACTTCCAAGTGAATAAATTATGCCTGAGTCATCACTGGAATAAAAAAATCTTGCCTGGTCTCGCCAAATTGTGCAGATGAAAGTCCTTACTCACATTTGCTCCCTGGGGAGGATCTGGGCTGAAATGTTCCACTCCCCTCAGCACAGAGCTGAGGAGGGAAGAGCAAGAGACTTTATTTCCTATGCAAGATGAGTTCTGTTTTTCCAGAGTGGGTGTTAACCATGGAGTAGTAATATAGCAAATATTAGCTATATATAGTTGAGAATATTTTATGCCTAAATACTGTATTTTTTTCTCACATCATATTGATAAAAACATGGATTTTTAAAGAGTAAAACCTAGAGGACAATCCTGCACTCTGCATGGTGTTGGAAGATGCAGAAGGTTTTGTGTAGTTAAATTATAATTCCATAAAGATTTTTGGTTTAATATTGGCTAGTTATCCTACATTATCCCTTGCAGGAATGTTGGTCACCTGTAATTACAGAGTGTTTAAAGAGGCATTTATAATGTGATCTAAGGTAGTGCAAGCTAGAGATTTGTCCAATTAACTGAAAATGTGGAATTATTTCATTATTTTCAAACCAGAAATCTTAAACCATCTGTAATCCACTTGAACTGATCTGACTTTAATTTATTTCTTGTCACAGTCAACCATATCATAAGATTAGCATGATTAAGCAGTTAGTTGAATGGAGAAAAGAAATCTTAAGTGTTTACTGACTGGATAAACTTAGTTGATGTTTCACTTGAAAGGATTAAACCCACAATTTACACCAAATTATGCTGGCAATTTGTTTAATATCTTCTTAGTGTACAAAAGGATGCCATCAGTTGCCAGATCTCCTGGCAACTGAACAGGAGTGTATCACGTACACTGCAAGTGCATTTGAACTGTATTATGTTTACCTGCAGACCTCTACAAAAGAACAAGTGAAAGAATTTAACATATAAAAAACAGCAAATGAAAATGCTACTGAAAAAATTACTCACAAAATTCCCTAACTTTCCAGCATATGGCATGAGTATTTCCCTAGAAACACAGGATCTGAGTGATATAGACACTGTTGTATTTCAGGAGATAACAAAAATAACATTTTACCAGGCAAAATATGGTTCTAATTACACACACACTTTTTGGGTTTTTGCAAAATCCTGAGTGGGTTTAACAGCACTTGACTTCTTTTTTGGGTTTTTTTTGAGGTTGCATTTGTCTAGAAATTCTCACGTATGAGCAAAACTAGCCAGTTTAATACCATGACTTACACAACTTCAGAGCTCCTGAAATACAAATTCTAGTGATAGCTTTATATGCTCTTCCACAGACTTACCTTTCAGGTTCCAGACCTTTGTTCATGAACATACAGATAACTTAATCTATGTTTCATGTGTCCATCTTTAAAGTGCATGAAATAACCCAGCTTTTTCTTCTTTGTAATTGCCCCAGCATTAATGGCAATATTTTCAACAGAGAGATGGATGCATTAACATCCATATGAAGCCTTTACTAAAAAGGAATGCAAAAGTAGTCCTCCAGGGACAGGTATGCTGAGATAGTATATTTGCATTTACACTTACCACCTGTGAGAAGCAGGCACATGTTTCAGCCCTCAGTCTGGCAACTGACGGCATCTTTATGTTCATTAAGAATATATTAAACAAATCACCAGCATAATACTGTGAAAATTTTGGGTTTAATCTTTTCAGTACCAGCTCAGTTTATCCAGTCAGTTAATACTTAAGATTTCTTTTCTCCCTTCCTCTTCCAGCTTTCAATTGTTACATAAACATTACTGTATATAACAAAGCTACTTTCATAATGTAGCATTATTAGCTTGTGAAGACAAGTCTGGAAAAAAAAACAAGCCAGTGTGACCTAAAGTATGTTTAATGCTTCTTTTCCTTTGAAGGATGCTGCCCAAATGGCCAAATCTTTTTCACCCAGCATGTGTCAGTAGGTGTGCCTGTGTGACAGGACAGCTTTGTGGGCTTGCCCATCCACCTCTATGAGGATGTAGAACTGTAGATGCTACTGTGCCACTGTATCTAAAGCAAACTTACAAAACAAAGGATTTGTCTGCTATGTTATAACTTACATTGTCCACGCTAAGCTATCTGCTGAGTGCTGGTACAGTTATATCTACATAAATCTTCCTTCAGTCATAGACATCTTGTTCCTTGCTGCTTTAAACTGAGCAGCAGGACTGCTTTTATTTTTGGCATTGACACTAGCTGTCCTATGATACTGGGCCATTAACCTCTGTCTATGAAACTTACTGCATGTGGCTGTGCTGATGTGTCACTTCTCAGGGAAGCATTCTGCAAGAAGTGATTATTACTATTACAAAGGCCTTTGGATACAGAGTATTCATAAACAGACAAAATGAAATCAGTGTTTGTAGGGCATGCAATAATTCAGCATCCTCTTTCATAATAATCTCTATGTTTATTCAGCCTGTTCCTTTTCATGCTTTCAAGACAAGAATATGTCTTCATCTAGTTTCCTAATTCATTCTTTTCATGCCTGTAGGCACAGAGTAATAGATTTGAGCTGTTTCCAGATACTAAACATTTTAACAGACAGGTGACATAACAGACATGTTTGTCACCAAACATGAAAAGTAGCCTGATACTGTTATTCTAGGTCAGCTGATCAGCATTTAAGTGAAGTCAGCTCTTGAACTAGAACTACAGAATGGATGTGCTCTTGTGCTCTTGAATTTCTTTGACTGCTAGAAGTAATGCAAGGCCCTCAGAAATAACTTACTTAAAGAGGAACTTAAAAGACAACACCTAAAATTTTATCAGTTGAAAGAAATAACTCAACATCCTTACCAGAACTGATAGTCCACCTACAGTCCAACAAGTAACCTTTTGAGAATGTTTAATTATAATTTTTCCTCCACTGACTTGTCAAAAAACCTGCTCAAGAAGCCTAGGGTGGTTGTGAAATTTGAGCTAGTAATCAGGTTCTTTTCTTTACTGAAGGAAATGTAGCCAGACACTAATCAGTGAGAAAAGCAACTACATGCTTGGTTTTGCTTTGAAACTTATCCTTGTAATTACAAACA